GTACTGCGGGACTCTACAGGGCCCGGTTCCTAAAAGGCCGTTTAGCGCTAATCCAGGGTTAGAATTTTGTTGCACTTTTTGTATTTACTTTCCTATGCATTGCTTAGAGTAACAGTTTGTGTTATCATTACTGTATCTCAGAGTAAAGACTCAACAGTATTTTGAAAGCTTGCGTTACATGTTCTTGGAAGAGAAAACCCTGCTTAAGATTTGGCTTAATCTGGGGGTTAACCTTAATCATCTTTCGAGGAACTGGGCCCAGATTTCCTTTTTAAAGTTGCTTGGTATTCTGAGGTTTAGCCTTAAGCTTTAGGAATGAGCTTAGTTCAAGTAGCCTGCGTGCAGTTGTCTCCTTTTTCCTTTGTTGCTCTCGGAAAAGGGACGACAACAAAGAAAATATGACAACACTCTGCACACAGGCTAAATTCAAAGAAAAGTAGTTTAAAATGCTATTATGATTTTTGAGGAGGCAGATAGTTACCTTTACATAGAATTTGTATAGAAGATCTGGAAATTCCCTGAAGCGATAATATAGAATAAACAACTACAACCAGCGAAGCAGAAAAAGTCAAACAAGGACAACCACTCTGTCATCCGAAATCACCGCCATTTTGATTACTGGAGCCCAGTCTGTGTGAAAGTCTGTGTATGATGTCTATGATCGTCCCATAAGACTGGGCACTAGTAAACAATATGGCGGCGAGTTCACCGATCTGACTGCTTTTCTTCTTCGGTTCTTTGAAGGTATCACCGTTCGAGGATATTTTTCGATCTTCTCTCTGAAGGTAAGAATAAGTCTCCCAGAACATATCAGCAACGTGTAATGTGATCTTTCTTGAATACTATAAATAGATATCTAACTTCTTCTATCAAATTAAAAGTTAATAACTTCAGTTATAACTTACATGTACCATATGCATTGTTCAATATAGTATTGCATTAAAATATTATAATTGATAGAAGCCTTAAAGTTAAAGTTAAAGCTAAACAGTTCATTTGTCAGGTTAGATACAAGATCTGGCCTTGCAAGGGAACAAACTGGTTAGGCATAAAAAAAACACATTAAAAATTATAAAAATAATAACAGTAATAAGATTTGGTAAGATTTCCACTCGGCCCTATACTTTTACTATGCACACTTGTATCGACTCAATTCATATAAACTATTTGTGTGAAGAAGTATGAGATTGCTGCATTCATTATAATCAATGAATGGGGCTGTACAGAAATCTTACCAAAGAACTAAACAAAGCAACCATTTTTACTGCTTTGATTGCCCACTGCAAATCATAAACTAACCTGAGAACAGGCCCAGTTTTTATCAGCTTTTGTATATTATCTCTTTCATGGTTATGCTAAATTTGGGCCTGATAAAAACTCTTACACACCCGTGCTACTGTGGTTAGATTAAGGTTGCAATGCTTATTGGCTGTTAGAAAAAATGTCATAGGATCTGATTTGCTCTTAGAATCACTGGAAGTATATATGTAGAACACATATAATGCCTTGCTCAGCTTGGTTAAAAAAAAATTCCACAAAGGAATCTTTTTTGAGTCATGGTTAAGTAATTTTTTGAGATACAGTGAAACCCTGCCTTAAGGTCACCCCATTATTACCGCCACTTTTTCGGCCACCCAGCAAAACAGCCATGCATTTTCTTGTAAGAAGCCCTCATTAATGTGGTCAGCCATTAATATGGCCAAATTTTTTTGTCCCATTGGTGTTCGTATTAATGGGGTTCCACTGTATCATTTAGTGATCACTCTATCTACAATTCAATCAGGGTAGTCCAGTTTGATAAGCAATAAGTAGACAAAGTAGACAAAAAGAATCTATTGGTATGTGGGTATGCCTCTCTTAATTGCTATTTATTTAATTAATTATTTATTCAGATTTGTTGACATTTAATTTGGGTTTTAAAACTTACAAAATTTTAATTTTACATTTTTGTAGAAATAGATTGCAAGCAAAACACAAACAAGTTACAGTTGTTATTTGCCACGTAAAGGATCATCATATGAAGCAAGAACAAAACACCAACAAAGGTTAATTCAATGAAACAAGATACGAGCAACAATGTGGCAAGACCATATAAATGCAACTATTGTGATAAGTGCTTTACCTATCCATCATATTGGAGGGAACATGAACGTGTTCATACTGGAGAGAAACCTCACAAATGCAAGTATTGTGCTAAGTTCTTTAGTAAGTTATCAGATTGCAAGCGACATGAACGTACACATACTGGAGTGAGAGCCTATGAGTGTAAGTACTGTGATAAACGCTTCACTCAATCATCACATTGCAAGCAACATGAACTGACACACAGAGGAGTAAAACCTCATCAGTGCAAGTATTGTGTTAAGTGCTTTACAGATTCATCAAATTGCAAGAAGCATGAACTCACACACACAGGTCTTAAGCCTTATAAATGCAAGTTTTGCAACAAGTGCTTCAGGGTTTCATCAAATTGCAAACGGCATGAACTGACACACAGAGGTGTGACATGTCATCAGGGTGGAAATTGATAGAAACCCATTTAATTTATTGTCATGTTGCAAGATACATCAAGGAATTCACACAAGGCACTGGTCTATTCACAAGTTTCTTAAGATGTTGCAAACCAGTTAGACATAATTTATTCAGCTTTTGGATCTTTCAAAAGAATTGAGTACTCCTCCAGAATATTATATCCACATAATACTGTTACAAAATGATCTCTGCTGTTTTATTTTTTATGCATTCATTCTTATTATGAACACAGTGCTTTTAGTTTGAAATAAAAAATTTCACTCACACAATTCATTATGGTTCAAGATAATTCCAGTTAGTCATGATGGTTTATCAGTGCCTGGGTAATTTATCTGTAAAATCTGTAAAAATACCATTTAATTGTTTAATTTTTAAAGGCAACTACACTGCTTCTTCACCTAACCAGCAATGCATTTAGCAAAGCGGATTTAGTTTTATTTTGGCCGCAGGATATCGTGGATGTCAGAGGTTTTTTTTGTAGCTAATTCTGACAGTGAAATGTGAAGCACTAAGAAAAAAAAATGTTTCATTGCATGGATGGATCTGGCTCTAATTCACCTCTGCTCTTAAATAAGGCCCAGGGCATTTGTGCTACGTTCCATTTAAAAATTACTTTTTTGGGCTGCAAGAACGCTTGCGTAAAATGTCATCAATGAGGAACAAAAAACCTCCCTCTCATGATATTTTCAAATGTTGTTGGAAGGTGCATCTCAGTGCAATATAGGGGAAAAAATGAACCCAGGTTTTTAAGCATTAATGGGTTCACCATTAAAGCACCAAGTTAACTTAAAAATGGACTGTTCTCAAAATTTCCCAAGAAAAGTCCTTGTGCATGTTTATGTCAGATGAACATGTTTAAGTCAGATGAACGAATCTCACCACCAAGCCAATGTTAATTTGTTAAGTTTTCCAAAATGAATTCCCAAGATAGTTTATTTGAAAAGAATAGCCATGCACAAAGAGTGTAAATGCAAAGAAGTCTCTTCTCCAATGATGCTTGGGGGTGAAATCTGCTTGTCTGACGTAAAGCTATAGGCATTTAGGGCCATAGCATTAATGTTTGCTCTATACAAATAGCTACAATTCACTGCCAACCAAAACTGGCTTCAAGTATTCCAAGAGGCACTCAATAAGAGGTATCTGTGATAAAAATTAATTTTATTTTGAAATATAAATCACAAAACTGCGAAGCTGTACTATACTTGGCAAAAGTTTTCACTTTCTACAAATACTTTAAATGTCACCAATTTTCAAGTTTTAAAAAAGGAAAAATAAGTGAATGCTTGCAAAACAGTCAAACAGTCACAGGTACAAATTATGGAAGTTGGCTAATTCTAAATTTGCTAGTTCTGTTGAAAGTGGATGAAGTGCCAATTTAGGTAACCAAAAATAAGCGAAACTGACCCTGCCTTTTTGCTTAGGGTTTTTGACATGAATGTTTTAATTTATGTTAGTATTAAGAGCAAAATATATTATTTATGTTATAAATATAAGCTACTTTAAGGCCACCATTTGCAGCTGAAGCACTCTTTCAAAGATCTGACGTATCGTATGGTATTTTGCGCACGTATAGATCACATAAATAATTGATTCTATCTGTACAATCGTTTTTATCAACAATCAAGAAGACTGCTGTACTATATTTTTGCAAAAGTTAATGGATTAATTCTTCATTGATGTGATTCTAGCACATATCCACTGACTCTTGAAATTGACGCATAGTTTCTTTTGAAAATGTTTCTTGTAGAAGAGTGCAGGCACTGGTGTCGTGGGAACGGCCTGTCATCAACCTGCATAGCATACTAGAACGACAGCTATCATCACAGGAATGGTCGGGTGCAGATTTCCAAAAAAACCTGTAACACAAATTATTAGCTATTATTGGGTGTGGCATGACAATATTACAGTCCATTCTCTCCAGACAGAAAAAGTGCGATTTAAGACTGACAGGGGTGCAATATGGCCCCTTTAACATTACTGCGCAGTTATTTTGTAATGCTTTGAATAAGGGAGGAGCTTCATGAGGCCCCCAAGGGAAAAGGAAAATTTTGAAAATTATAGAGTGTTTTCACTCACGTGGTCAGCATCTATGCAAATTTATTGGAACAAAAGAAAGCGTAGGCATAAGAAAAGAGTACAACTCCCAGAGGATTGGTTTGGGACACCAACATGGCCACTGTTTCATTGTTTTGGAACACCAATATGGCCGCCGTGACGTCATGTGAAAACACTCTATTCAATGAGTAGGGCATCTTTCCCATTTCAACTTCCAAAATTTGTAATTTACACCCCTGCATGAGACAATATGGACAACAAGCATCCCATTTTTTATGTGGACTTATAGTGCACAAGCCATGTTACACTGATTGCATACTAATAAATACAAGGGTGAATTTGAAAGCTGGATTCCCAACAAAGTTCTACATCATGCCTGGTAAATAATATTACATCACTTCAATGACTGTCACTTACTTGTAGAATGTGTCAAAGAGAGTCTTATTAGCTGCAAAGCGATGAACGAGGTTGTTCCAGTCTTCAGGTAAAAGTGAGGGCATATCATAAGCTTCCTAAATGCACAAGTAAGAACTCGAGTCAATATGAATGAGTCACAAAAATGTTTAAAGTGGGAGTTGAAAAGTAAACTAGTAAGGCTAAAGGAGTAATCATGTACATGCATATATCAAGCTGACCTTTTTCTCATGTGTTAGACATGTTTCTTTTGCTCTAGGAAGTAAACTCAAATATTACTGGCTGTATATCCAAAAACCTAATAAGTTGACCCAGGACTAATTATTAGCCTGTGTATGCAAAATACAAGGACCACTGCCCTTATTGCCCAAAATAAGCTCCCCACCCCTCTAACTCTGTGTAATAAGCAGCCTCCCCTTTGTCAAAACTAGCAATAATAAGCACTTCCCTTCCCATCCCCTCACTTAACTAACCTCATTCAAGGTGGATGTTCAAGGAAACAATAAATTATAGCATCAATATTACCTTGGCATTATACTCCAGTTTCCACTGTACATTTCCCTTATTTGCCTCCACTAGGTCCAGGATGTATGTTTTATGATTTAGGACAACCTATAGCACACAACGAGAGTTTATTGACAACAGACAAAGAAACTGTGTTTTAGAGTTACAGTTACAATCACTTAGTCTGAGTCTTAGTCTTAGGCCTCATTACTTTACAATGCACATGCCATTAATTTCACAGAACAATCTACTGTGTACAGGTACCCTAGAGCTGTTGGCATAATCTCCATCCACTTCATATATTCTGTATCCAGGATTGTGGGTTTGGTACGTTGTAACACTTGGTCCAATAAAAGCTATGCTGGAAACAAAAACAAAATAACTATGTTACTTAACTTGCTGTGACTATACCAGTCATTCAATCATCAGCATAATTTATATTAACACAGAAACATATTGACAGTTTAAAAATGTTACCTATTACCACGACCACTAGTTCTCAATCAAGTTTATGCACAATTGAATAAAAGGGAAATGATTCTGGGTAACACATTAGGTGATGGGGCAAGGTAACATGACTTTAGGCATTTTCACTAAAAAATATTGATAATAGACTGTTTGGACATACTGTTGAATCAAAAGTAAAAAAAAAATCAGATTGAACTGTAGAAAAACATAAAAAGAAACAATAATATTGAAACTACACTGTACAGCTTTGTGAGGACATATACATGTAGATACACAAATCTGGACTACGTTCTAACTACTAAATCACAATTTTGCTTGGGAAATCTTTAGCACATTTTTTATTGATGACATAGTATGACGGGTAAAAGTACTTCTGCACGGTGAATACATGAGAAATGTAACAGAAAAAAATGAACAGCACAAAAAGAGTAATGAGAAATGTACAGCAGAAAAAATATACGTGTCTTTACTTCCTTTCTGACCGAGTACTTACAGGTAACTTAAATAAGCTCCATATTAATGGAAGGCTAGGAAGTATGATTCATTGAAATATATACTAGGTTTTCCCTTGATGGAAGACAGTGGATGTCAGTTTGATTTTAATTTCATGGTAAAATAACAAATCTACCAGACACAGTATTGGTAAGGGCAAATTAAACTGAGTCAGGTATAGCTGCAATAACAACATTCAGCAAGTCAATTCCCACATTGCATCAGACATCACATTATGACCGTTTTCAAGTTTGATCACGAGTATAAGTACAGTAGAACAGGTGAAGGAGCAAAGCTTATTGTAAACGTGCTTTTGTTCTTACTTTGTGGGAATTTTCCTAGTCTTTTCATCATAAAAGATCTCAAACTCATCAGCATGGGTGTGGGCAAAGAACTGTGCTGTTACAGTGCTCTGGTAACGGTTCACTATCTTGTAATAATTCCAGCTCCATGGCTTGAGACAATCTGGGCTTCCAGGCAAAATGTGGCCAATAATATGAACCTGTTCACAATACAAGAATTGGCAGCATAAGTTCACATAATTATTATGGATTACATAGAGCATTACAGACAGTGGATTCCAATTTTCCATGTAGTTTATTTTGCAGCTCCCATATTAGCTTTAACCTGGATGCTGGCCTTTGTCAAGGATGAATTAATCCTTGACTTTTCTTTTAACATCCATGTCTGAGTTCCTGGTAAACAATTTTGACGCCCTCCCAGCAGATTGCATTTGCACTGTTTCCTTCGAGGAGGAACTTTACTCCACTTTGTCTAGACTCTTCAACCTCTCTTCCTCATAAATGTGTACCAATGACATACTGCCCCATCCAGGGGGGAGTAGCAATAATCCTAGGCATGCTTCATGCTAAGGAAACCGGGATAATTAAGCTTTGGCCACTTGGGACTTAGGCGCCTTACCTTTACCAGCAGATTGTATAGTTGGAATTGATTAGATAATCTCACATGGTAGATGTTAATTTACAGGTGTACTGGTACTTAATTTGCTTGTAAAATCTTCTCCCAAGCTCTTAGCTCTGTTTTGCTTGTGCAGAGCTCCAATAATCCCCACAGTTGTAAGGGATGAATGTGATGTTGCAGATGAAAGCCATGTTGCTCCTACATGCTGGCCTAGCAGTCAGAATATTGGTCAAGTAGTTTTTCAAATGCCAATTATGGGCTACAGTAAGAAAAATTGAAAATAATGCTGAAATAAGAAGTAAACAAACCTTTTCCCCATTGTCTTCTGCTTCCTGTAAGGTATCTGTCAGCCACTGGAGCTGTTGAGCTGGATCAGTATTGTTTATTAAAAGCCACCTAACATGAAACATCAGCACTAACATAAACATTAAGAAATAATTTACCACAAATTCAGCTAGCTAGAGCTAAGCAGGAATGTCATTCTTTTACATGCATCTAGCTAATTGCTACACTAGAGCAATAGTTACTACCATGAACAGCAATTTGCACTGAAGTGGAGTGGACACTAGTTTTTGCTCTTTATTATATGCCAATCTCTTAATAAGTAAATATTTGTTGTTGTTGTTGTTGTTGTTATTTACCCCCAACCTGGAACAGTCCCTGCCCATGGCCTTCCCCTCAAGAATGTCAGAACACCCCTACTCTTATCCCTTTAAGCCCCAGTATCCACATACAAATTCTCCTGACTGATCTCTATACATTTCCTTAAAGAATTAGTTGGTGATCATCGTATTAATTCTCATAACTTATCTCTTGACAATGTATGGATTTCGTTAGGAGAAAATTGATGTTAGTCACTATTGGGACTTAAAGGGTTATTGCACAGCAGTACAAACAAGAAGTACAGAGTGTATGTTGAGCCCCCTTTTGAATTGATATGGATGAATGAGGGAGACAACACCAATCATCATTGGAACTAAGACAAGGTCTTGAATCGAAGCCAATAACAACCACTTTTCTTTATAAATAACCCTGGTTATTGGCCTTATCACAGACATACCTTATGAACCCACAACTCTCAACTCAGGAGACCGGAGCTCTTCCAACTTAGCTTACTCAGTAGCAGTTTAGCTCAAATTAAATTGACCTTACTTAATTACTTAGTTGTCTCTGTACGCTATCATTTCAGAACATGTGATACGATAAATATTATAATGGTACTTAAAGCGTGCAGTTTCTTTCAATACTGGTATAATCCATGCTAACCTGCACCAACAAAAATGTAATAATTCTTAAAAGGATCAGGATGTTTTCAACTGTTACTTAGGAACATTTATTGCTTAAGAAAATTAACCCTTAGGTTAAGGACCAAAAATTTTTAATAGTATATATGTATATTTTCTCACCAGTTCATGTTGTTACAGTAATTCATGTTGAGGGACACTAGTCTAAATCCTTTGGACAACAACACTGTATAGTAACTTCCTCTGAAATCAAGAAACAACATACAAAAATTTAACCAGGGGTTGTTGGCCTACTTGTGGTTAACACAAAGAATAATAATAAAATTATTGATTATAATTTTTAGCCTATTCAGCTTCATATGACTGTATTAATAACAATAATATTATTGCTTGCATTGAAGGATGCTAAAAAATAATATTAATAATAATATTTTATGTGTTATAGATCTCCTAACAACTTAATAATTATTAAGAAATAACCAATAATAATTCTTATGCGATGCACACTCACTTGTAAATTGTAGGCAAGGCATAATCTGGTAACCAGATCTTCCAGTGGTCTGCTAAAGAGTTGCGTAACCACTGATTTGAATCGGGGCCTGTGACGAATGGCGGCGGAAAGCTGTGTGTAAAACACAATAATATGAAATAAACATCACTCATTAATTAACTTACTCATCATGTGTTTCTTAGATGGGTATACATTTTAACTGGAGCCTGTCATGTATAACAGTATGTTGATGTATAGCCAATGCAAACTGAATGGCAATAAGTTCACAATAATATTATTATCTATCAAAATTAACATTATTTTAATGTTCTAAAGTTTTGATCGGTATTGAGATCACTGCATCTGAACCTGCAGATGCCTTCAGACAATGCTCACTAAGTTTGATACCCTCATACACAGCTTGGTCCATTTGTTCAGGAAACAGTGGTTGCAATGTTTCTCCAAATAAATTCCAAAACAAAACCAGCACACTGGTTGAATAACTAAAACCACTATCAGTTGAACTAAGTTTGCAAAGTTTTGTCACCTTAATATATAGTTTTATATTATTAACAATAAATTATTAAAAATATTGCCAATGAATAAATTTGATCAACCTGTTAACTGGAGCACCCTCATGATTTCCAACTGCAGGAAACACTTTCAATCCTGGAAGGTATTTTACAATCAGTTTGTTGGCATAGTCCAAAGCTGCTATCTGCAGATAGAAAACATGCAAAAATGCCTCAGATGGGTTCTTTTACTCTTTCCACCAAAGAGAAAAGAAATGACATACTGTATATTTCTCGCGAAAAAGGCGATCATTTTTACATCCAAACAGGGCACAATGATCTTTTTTTCCTATTACAATCTTTTTTTAGGAAAACTTAAAGAAAAACTGGCCCGAAAAGCACGCGTAAATACTGATGCAAGTATATCGGATCGTGCTCATGCCCCCCTGGGCATCCCATAGTACTCCTAAAATCCAATTAATTCAACATGGCCACCATATCAGTAAAAAGGTCTATTAATTTTTTTCTCATCGTGGAAAGGAATGAAACTGAATGGGTGTGGAAACGTAAGTTGTTGACAATTAAGCAACCATTCAAACACTTCACCTGATCTGCCCGTGACTGATTCCAAATATTGTGTGGAGGAACATCTCCAGTCCATATGGCGTAATCAAACTTCTGTAAGATAACATAATATAGGAAACAAACTAAGGTAAGTGGAAGGGCTTGAAATGGGGGATCATGTTGCTGAGATTCATTGTGCATTGTTTTGCATCTAAGCCAATGATCTTTTCTGATTATTTGATCCCTGTCCTTCCCTCCATTTCAGTTCAGTGTATACAGTTGAATCTTGATTATCCAGACTCGTTGGGACTTGAGTAAATAGTCCAGAGTCTGGATAATAAAAAATATGAATAAATTAACAAGACAATGTTGTAAACATTGGGAATAAAGAAAACAAAATTTAACGTGAATTAGTTCCTACTTGAATTTATGTACAGACTGTAAGTGAAATAATCTTTTGTTTATCCTTTATAGAGAGAACAGACTACTAGTTTATGATCGATTGGTCTTGTGTTTACATAACCAATGCAGAATCAAGCATGATTTCCCTTAGCAATATAACAATTGAGCCAATCAGAATTCAGCTGAATGCATCAGAATAATGTTCATCTTGTGCTGCTCTCGCTTTTTCAAAGCAAAACAGATTGAAACAGTGTTTTAACCACACGTTTAAAAGGATTAATGAACTTTCAATCGTTTCAGTTTTTCAAGATCTTACTAATTCATGAAAAAAATTGGGACCAGGGAAACAAGTCTGGATAATTGAAAAGTCTGGATAATCGAGGTTCGACTGTACTGTGTGTTAATTCTACTGATTTAATTGGTCAGTGTGATAGTAGCAGTGGTGGTTGCTGCTCACTAGTTGCCATGGATACATTATGTTTGTCTCTTAACATAGATTGCCTGTAATAAATTTAAATTTGCTGAAAACAAAACATTCTGAGTGTAAAATACTACTCTGATTCGCTACATTAGTTTGCAGTCATTTCAAATAAATGAACTTGTAAAAAGATGGAAAAAGTTCATATACAACATAAAGTAGGAAAGCCTCATTGAAGAATTGTTGTTGTGGCTCAATAATATTTTAACCCTTGATTAATTTTGTGTCAAAACCATTATCATATACTCCCCCCTACAGCACAACGGCCAAAAACAAAGAAAAATACTGGTAACATTTAAGCCAAGCATAAAATTGAATGAGAACAATAGTTATGTTACATTGTGTAGCTTTCTTATATTGACAGTCAGAACTTGTTATCAGGTAATGGTACATGTTGAAGTTACCTGTTGAGTTGCATTGAGATGTTGGAGCATATTCTCAAATGTGATGGTTGGAATGTCACATTGATAATCTCCGTATTTCCCAGCCTTTGGTTTTCCAGGATCTGAAAAAGCAAAAATGATAATCTCATTCTAAAGATAAATCTCTCAAATAAGAACCAAAGAATATACCAACTGCTTATTGACAAGTTATCCACCTCAGCCGATTACACCCTCCAGATGATCTGCATAATTCTTCATTAATTAAACAATTAATATTGATGACTTTTGATATTTATTATTAACCCTTTCATAGCCAAACAAAAACTATTCCCCATGGATCTTGCTCTACCAGGATTGCTCCTGGCAGAGATCAAAGATTTTTTAAAATGGCTATTCTCTCTTCAATCTCATTTGTTCTT